GTAAATATAGCAATAGTTTTTGGATTTTGTAAATAAGTTAAACTATATCAAATCTTATTTTTCGTTTTTTTTATTCCAATTMTACCCTTGTGTGAGGTATATCAATTTCATACTAGACATATCGGCTATGATTAAGGCACTTCATAGGAGGTAAATCAGTTCTGATTGATATTAGCTAGCATGTGGTACGTTCAATTATAGCAGTTTGAAGTATATTATTGATATACTTTGTATAATGCCAAGGAATATATTTGATATATCTTATATGAAGCATATCAATGTAGATATGATATACCTTGATATTCTTCATATACGATATATCAAACATATCACTGATATACTTCAAACATATGATATTAGTGATATACTTCAAATACAAGGTATGTAAATTACTGATTTACCTTGATGTACTATATACTAGGTGTATTAATTATAGTTCATTTACCTTATACTAATGTATTTCATATAAAGCATATCAGTTATAACTAATCGATATACGTAGTATGAAGTATATTAAGGTATATTAGTTTTTCGTATATAAAATATATCAATCAGTGATATACTTCATATAACTAATACGGAGTGCATCAAGTTACATCAAATTGATAACTTCTACCTTAATTTCATCGTTTTCATAATCCATGTTAAAAGTTGTGTATCTCTTCTATCAATTGATTCATGATACTTGAAATATATGTTCTTAATGTGAGGAATGATTTCTTTTTCTCGGTAAATCTCATCGAATTTGGGTATTCATCACAATTTAGACCATTGTTCGGACAAAATTCTTTTAAGCAAAATCCTTACTATATTTCTGGTTGATTAAGCCTTTATTAGATAACCCCTAATTAAATATACCGACAATCTTAAAGGACACCTCTTACTTCTAAAGGATAGAAACCGTGAAACCCCTCATTTACTATTTGAAATTCTAAATCAATTTCAAAAAGGATTCTCAACTCTTTTAAATTTGACAATTCTACATTGATCTTAGAATTCAATGTGTAGAGGTTGTGTGATTTTGCATTTATTTATCATATTTTATTGAAGAATGTATTAAAAGAAAAAGGAAAATTAAAGGTGATGGAGTTGGAAAATTTGGACACTCACCATATATAATTATGGTACAAATTAAACCAAGTTGCTCAAAGCTTTGACTCATGTTGCACTAAGGATAGAGATTTGTAATGAATCCTTTTTCAATCAATCAAAACCATCTTTCAATTGTCCCATCATCCTACCCCAACTCAAGGCATTCCCCAATTTTCTCTCTTTAAAAGCTTTAAATAGTAATTTTTATCTCTAGATTTTAATTTTTTATTATTACTTTTAAATTGGTTTTTTTTAAATTTTTAAAAGTTTGCTAAAGCTGTGTTTTAGTCCTAATATCTTTTTCCAATTTAGACTTTTGTTTTCTAAAAAATTTCAATTCAGTCCCTTATATTTTCCGTTTTTTAATTCAGTTTCTCAGTTCTCATAATTTAAAATGTTTCAATTTAGTCTTTTATATTTTAACATTTTTTAATTTAATTATTCACGGTCAGTATAGGTTAAAATTATGATTATAAAWTTACCTTATAATATTTAATAAATTGACCAAACTTACCAAGGAGGAAAAGGATCGTCTAGAAGATGAAAGTTACCAACCCTTCCACCAAATTTCTCAAAAATTAGTATAAATTTTCAGTTTTCTTCTTTTGATAGACCTTTTTTTTTTCTTTTCTAGATTTCTATCAATTGATTGAGTAGCCGTTTGGTTGAAGGTTTCAAAAGATAGCCTGAGATTAAGATGTCTGAGACTAATTTATCTGTGAATAAGATGCTTGAGAATCGAAGATAACTGTGTTTGGTTGTATATATGTCCGAGATTAAGATGCCGAAGAGATGTTTGAAAATAAATTATATATATGTTTATTTTGTATGATTAGAAAATAAATTATATATATATATATATATTTTTATTTATTTATTTATTTATTTATTTTGTGTGATTACTTTAGAAATATGCATTTTATGTCATTGTAAACATTAATTAATAATTAATAATATTTAAGTAAAAATAAATTATATAAATTTAATAATTTTAAGTTATAAATTATTTTATATTAGCATTCTAAATTTTAAATTGACAATTTAGCTATATTGACAATTTAGTATAATGATGAATTGAACAATTAATAGTAAATGTTATTTGTGTAAAATTCAATATATACAYATTTAGCAAAATAATATAGGTGTATAATGCTTCAGAATTAATCAAATTAATTTACATTAATTAATATATATTTATTAAGTTAAAATATTAAAATTATTTTAAGTTTCACTCATCATAAATATATTATAAACAATATATCTAAATTTATTAGTTGATTTTATTTAACAATCATTCTTAATAATTATCATTAAAGAAATGTGTTTAACAAAATTAATCATTTCTATTYTATCAATAGCATCAATTTATTACATTTTTTATTAAAAAAATAAAAATATATTTTAATAAACTATTACAATAGAATCATTAATTTAGGTAAATTTTTAATGTTGTTTTATTAATTATAAATTTAATTTAAATATTTTGACTAATTTTAATTTATGTTAATGAAATAAAATAAATAATTACATTTTAAAAAATAATTTATTGAAAGTGAGAGAGATAAAAACCTGACACAAAACCATGAAAATGGGAGGGCAAAGAAAGCCTTGTCCATGGTGATGTTTGAGAATAAACTATTTAGATTGAGAATTTTTAAAAATATATGAGAGTAATTGAAGTTTTAAAAATAAAAGGGACAAAATTAGAAAAAAAAAACAAAAAAACTCAAATACCACTATTTAGCTAACAAAAGTTGAGGGTATATTAATCTTTAAAATCTTCCTTTAACACCTCAATTTAGTCTTTTAACTTTAAACAATATAATGAGTTAAGAATTAATAGAAAATAACCRTCCATATGTATGTAAAATTGTCCACGTGAATATAGCTCTAACTTGTAAGTTTGAAAGAAAATATTGCTGAAAAACTTCAAACTCTCGAGATTGCAAGCCTAAAAAAAAGGAAAAAAAAGGAAATAAATCATGTTTCTTTTTTGGTTAAACAAGTCAATGACATAGAAAATGGAGTGAAGAACTAGTTGTCTCACTCTTAGTTCATCTTAAATTTAAAACAAATATATTAAATTGTTAAGATTTTTAAGTTTTCTCTATATTTTCCAACCCTTAATATATATAAAAAAATAGAAAGAACAAAATTTACAAGTTGATAAAAATCATATATTTCAATATTG